TAACAGGACAGATAATTACATCTGTCTTATGCAAATACTTCAATTAGTTAAATTAACCCATCTTTGGAAATATGCATCCTAATAATGCGAGCTCCTGTCTTAGGCATTTGGGTAAAAGAAGCTTTCTAACCCATCTTTGACTGCTGACTTCTGTGAAGAAAATAGATTAAGGGAGAGAAATACCTTTGGGCTTGTATCTTAAAGCCATAATTTGTAGTGAGGAGAGATCATAATGTTTTATGAATAATCACGTTCCTAAAGACTATATAGTCTCCTATTTCATTGAGAAGAGGGTTGCCTGAGTTGAAATGTTTCTTCAGCTGGTCTAGAGCACCTCTTAAATTTATACATTATATCAAAATCTAAAATTTTAACATATGCATTAAACACAAACATTTCCAGGGTGTGTCAAACTTTTCTCAACATCTTATAAGCATTTACAAACGTTATCAGGTCAATACCATGAGTCAATAATGGGAATTAACAATAAATCCACAATTTAACATATCACAATCTTCTTAAATCCATATTAATCAAAAGACAAGTAAAGTTTTTCTGATGGGTGAGAGTACAATGGCTACAATGACATTGCTGTTATCAATACCAGTGCCAGTCTCTGAGCAGTAGTTAAACCCTTAGGCTGTACCAATCATAAGTGAAGAGGGCTTTCAGTTATTACTTATTTTGAGTATTTCTTTCCCTAAGAGGAAAGCTTAGGTCTTAGTTCTCAGGTCTAATATTTTAAAAGAGTTCTGTGTCCCAAAAATTAAAAATGTCAAACATTCAGTCTGCATTTCAGCTCCAAAGCAAACAAGATTCAGACTATAAGCAAGTTGTAGTCATCTTCTTCACGTCATTGCAGCAGGGCCTCTGGGTTTGTGTCCTGAGTGTCTTGAAGCAGCTCAGAGTCCTCCAGTGCAAAATGTGTGTACAAAATGAGTGGTGGAAGCAGGTCCCATGAAGCCGATCAGCCACTCCTCTCTGTGGGGATAGGGAAGGCTAGACTATGGTTGTTTTCCTCTATCTCCTTTTACTCCAACTATCCTGCTAGGGCTTTATGAGCTATAGTGTTATCAGGTCTGATGTTCTTCTGTTGGACACATCAAAACAGTCATTGTGGAAGCTATCTTGCATGTTCTACATCCTGGGAAAAAAAGCACAGATTGTCGTCGACCCATATTAATTGGTACTATTATGCCACAATCTGTCTGCTATTGACCACTCATAGACATCCATTTTAAAGAAATGTGGGGTAAACAGTGCATGATTTAAAGTATTATGTGACATTTGAGGATATGACTCCCCTGTTTTTATCTTTTGAAGTTGTAGTTCCAAGAAGCTATGAGCATGCTCCACTAATCTTTGTTATTGAGGATTTTAAGGAATACTGACCTTATGTATGATATTCCCTTGGGTAAAAAATCATTGCCATGCTTTACCAACATATCTGAACCCATTGTGCCTTTTTATTTTTGGGTTCCCATGCATGAGAAGCATTTTAAACAAGGAGTTATTACATACTTAGTGGTTTCTCCAGTTTGGGCAATGACCATCAAGAATCCTGACTATGTATCGATTGTGACATGTATGTATCTCAATTTTCCAAATCCTGAGACATGATTATCATCCATTTGCCATATATGATTAGGAAGCAATCCTTGGGGATTTACCCCCAAATGAGAATGAGATACAGGTAAATATTGTAGGCACATCTCCCATTGATTAACAATTTAGTAAGCAGCTTCACTTTAATTTAAATTGCTTTCTTAAACTTAAACTATTTTGATGGTGCAAAACATTCAACTGCTGAGCAAGCTCAACCTGTTATAGAACAATTATTTTTGTAAGTTTGTCAGCTAAAGTATTACTTATAGCTTATGGACCAGGAAGATTCCAGTTTGCTCTGATATGTCCCACAAAACATGGTAACTTTCTTTGTTTTATGGCCTCTTGAATCTGCTGGAAATGCATCCTTACTTGTTTATTGCTAGTACCAATATAAGAGACAGTCTCTAGCACCTGAAGAGCATTATGGATGTAATGGCTGTCAGTATATAAATTAAACACCTCTTTTGCAAAATTTTGAAACTCTAAAGCCACAGTTCACAGCTTGACTATTTTAGCTGAAGCTGGTTCTGTCTGCACTGCATGTCCTTTACCATTAATCACATAAGCAGTCGTCCCATTAGAAGGGCCATCAGTGAAAATTAACAAAGCATTCTTTGTCCTATCTTTTGCTACCACTTTAGGAAAAATGAATGAATGCAGTTGGGTAAACTGGAGCAATGATCAGTTGGGAAAAAATTATTAATCTGGTCTTGAAACTGAGCAAATGCAATTGCCCAAGAATCAATATTTTGAAATAACCACTCAATTTATTGCTTAGTGGAAGGAACAATGATTACAGCCAGGTCCTTGCCAAAATATTTCCTATAGTCTACCCTGCTCTACTGTGCTAAACATGCTGCTGCTTTAAAATAAGAATTTTGTTGTGATACAGGAAGGTGCATCCATAAGAGTGGGTTGATTTGTCATAAAACTACAGTAGGAGCTAGTTTTGTTGGTAAAATTCATGCCTGCCATATTTGGCTGTAATCAATATAATGTATCTGTTGTTCTTGTCTGGCAGCTTCTGAAAGCTGACTGCTGCAATTTGAACTACTACTTTTTTTTTAAGCATTTCACTTAGAGGCTCAAGGTCTCCTGTAGGATACTTCAGATACTGTCTCAGCCATTGAATATTTTCTAACAAATTTTGAAAGTAATTTAGTGTCTTTAAACTATCCTTCTTAATTTCTAACCTTTGCAGCTTATCTTCTGGGGGTTAAAACATATGACCTAAATACTGGAAAGGTGGGGGCTTCTGCACTTTCTCTGGAAATATCTAGGCCTGCATGACTAAGACTCTGTTGTAGTAGTCCACATGTATCAATTAAAACTCAAACATCTCTATGGGCAAGCAGCATGTCATCCATGCAATGTATGATATAAATCTGTAAAAATTATTGTCTAACCTTTTGTATAGACTGAGCTGCAAACTTCTGGCATAAGTTGGCACTGTTTGCTATATCCTGAAGTAAGGTGCTCCATTGATATCTCTTCATTTGCTCTCTGAAATTAACTGAGTAGGTACCAAGAGCAAATCTTTTGCAATCTTATGATGCTAAAGGGATGGTATAAAGACAATTTTTTAAGTAAAAAATATTTTTATGGGTGCCTTTTGTTATTGTTGTAGCAGAAGGCAATCCTAGTTGTAATGCTCCCATTGGCTGCATGGTTGCATTAACCTCCCTTAAATCCTGAATCAAGCTCCACTTTCCGATTTATTTTCAATGACAAAAATTGGAAAATTTCATGGTGAATGAGATGGTGTAATGTGTCCATTATTTAGCTGTTTCTGCACTAACTTTTGGTCAGCTTGTTATTTTTCTTTTGTTGGAGGTCACTGATTTACCCATACCCGCACATCATTTCTCCAGACTATTGGGTCTGGATATTTTGAGTTAAGCTTTTGTTAGATTTAATGTTTTCTTAAACTGATGAGTCCATTTCCTCTATTGTATTTTCAGTGATTGAGATTCTCTCTTCCATCTCTTGAATTCTGCTGTTCATGCTTTCATTTTTGGTTCCTGATCATTTTCTCATGATTTCTGTTTTTATAATTCCCCAGCTTCTGTTTTCTTTATTTTCTCTATTTCAGTTTTCAAGTTTTTAATAGTATTTTTCATAATGTTTGACTGTTTTTTCTTGGTTTCCTTTTGAGGATTTGCTGATGTCTTCTAATTATTTGTTTTTCTTTTCCTCCATTTATTTGAGGAAATTTCCCTTTTCCTCTTTAAGAGTTTCAAATATTCTCCTGAAGTTCTTTTTTTAGGTCATCTTCTGCTTCATCTGCAGCTGTTTGTTCCATTCTTCTGTTTTGGGCTCTTTAGGTTTTAGTGGTGTTTCTCTTTGTGGTATTGTATGTATTCTTACTTTTTCTACTCATCTTTTCCTTTAATAAATGTGGTTGGGGCTTTCTGAGACTCTGTTGATTAATCTTCCAGGTGTCAGTGAACCTAAAACTGAGATGATTGTTCCTCAAGGTACAGGGTATGTCACAGTTCTAGTTACCCCATTCATTATTCCATGATCCTGGATATAGCTTAGCGCTCCTGGACTTTGCTCTGCTCCCTTGGAGTTTGCTGTCTTAGGTCTAATTTGGCCTTGGATCCTGGCTTTGACCTGTTTCTGTAAATGCTGGTGTGCATCTGCATTGAGTGCAGGTTTTTCAGTGACCTCTCCTAAAAATACCCTAATCCTGCCCTAGGAGGTCTACTGTTCATTATGATAGGATCAGTCCTTCCCTCATTTTCCTTGCCCTGACCTTGATTAGGTAATAATCCTGTTGAAACATTTGATTAGTAGCAGCTGTGCTGGAGGAATATAAATATACCCCCATTCTGGACATAATATCTCGGCCCCATAAATTTATGAGTAAATGAGAAATAATATATGGCTGGAAAGTTTGTTCATGGCCCTTTCCATCCTTCCACTGCAGTTCATTACTATTTTGATCAGGACTTTGAGTCTGGCCAATACCCTGTAGATGTGTCATAGTCTCTGTTTTTGGCCACTTAGAAGGCCACTGGCTAGCAGTTACAACCAAAATTTCTGTGGCAGTATATATAAGATCAGATAATTTTTTCCATTTATAAACAAAGTAATTTCTGGTCTCTGAGGACCTGAGGATTGTAGCCAATAGGTGTTAGATGAAGCAAATCCATATTTCCCTCTCTTATCTTTTTAATCTGATTTTTGATTTGCACATCAGGTAGTAAAATTAATTGTGCAAGCCTCTGACCTGTGGTTACTACAGACACTCCACTTGGTGAGTGAGTCATCACCTTGATCTCTCCCTCAAAATCAGCATCAATGTCTCCCAGAGCAACAATAATTCCTTGCATAAATGGTGCAACTTTTTCCTAGTAACAGCGCTACAGTGCCCTTTGAAAAATGCCCATAAACAACAGTATGGAAAGATTGCATCCCAACTTCGGGTGTCAGAACCGTGCATACGGAAGAACTGAGGTAAAGTCCTGAGCTTTCTGGGGTTGCTTTGAAAAGATCCTGAATGGATTTCCTTGTTGGGGGACAGGTTGTTGGATTGCCCCATAATTTTGTTTCAGGTCCTGAGGCTGGCCCCTGCATCCATTTCCTGAAAGAGGATTTCCTAGATTGTCTCTTTTTGATCTGCAATCACTAGTCCAGTGTTTTTCTCCGCTGCATCTCCTGCATAATCCTGGTTCTCTTCCTGTCCTCATGCTTAATCTCCTATTAGGACATTGTCTCTCCTGATGCCCCATAAGATAACATCCACAGCAGCTTCCTTGGATGTGTGGAGGTCTTGTAGCTTGCATTCTTCCTAGGCCTAGATCTCTCTGCTGCGATAGGATAACATTGTTTTTTTCTGCAAGGCATCAGCTATCACCATTCGCTGTGTATACAACTGGCCAATATCTGTGTAAATTTGGATATAATGTCTAATGATATCCTACTTTCTCAAAGGTCTAAGAGTCACCTTACATATAGCATAGTGTTCATATAGTCTAGTTGTTTAACTATTATCAAGCATGCTCCTGTGTCCTCAATCAACCTATTGGATGTCTGTGTTATTCTGAAAACAAAGACCTGAAATAATTCATCTTGTCCCTGTCTTATACTAGACAACTTCTGAATCTGTTCTTCTCACAATGGAAGAATGTTCTAGGTGTTCTTGGCTGCTGCACTAGTTTGAACATATGCTGCCACATCAAATTCTAACTCCTGATCTGCTCCTGTATAAGGTCTCTCACATGCAAACATTTAATAGGAACTAGGAATCTGCTGAGTTCTGTTTCTCTCAGCTGTGGCCTGACACTGTTCTGCAAATTTGGTTTTCAACAATAGATAGTCTCCTCCTGACAGGCAAGCTTTGGCTGTATGCTACCAATCCCCTGGCATCAGAGTGTCTATTGCTATATTTCCTAATAGAGTCTGAGTAAATGGGACCATTTGATACTGAGATCTGTCAGTTTTCAGTTATTTGAGTAACATAAATGATGAGTAACTTAAATGGGAGTATGTATCCTAAGAAAATTTCCTTGAACACCTCTTTGTTCTTTTATTGAAAACTATTAAAATCCTTACATTTCTTTCCCTCTGTTAGTGGCTTCTCTGATACAAGCTTATAAAAGAGATTCATTACTATTGTAAGGCATTTGCCTAACATTCAGAGCTCTTTGTACCATAGGTGTATCTAAACCAGTTATATGCTCGGAAGAGAGTTACTCTTCTGGTAAGAGTCCTGGTTCCACAGAATTTCTACTCTCCACGATAGTGCGGTTACAAACTTTGTCAAAACTTTTAGCTCCTTCTGAGCTTCATTATCATTTTCCTGTCTTTCAGTATTGCTGGTTATTAATAAGGGAGATGAAGATTCCTCTTCATAGTTCTCTAATTAATTAGGCTCTGACTGATTGTTAACACTCAATTCTGTAACAGCATCTTGCAACTCCTCTGGTAGGGAAGAGGGTACCTTCTAACTAACTCAGTGGGAAGGATATCCTGTTGTATGGGTTTTCCGCCCAACTTTTCCTGTATTAGGATCCAGAAACGAAGTGAATCTACAGGGAAGCTTTCTGGTCGATAATTACAATAATATTGTTGAAACTTTATCCCAACATTTGTCTATTTTGCACTATCTTAAGTCCTGCACTCAAAAAACCAAGGGCCTAGCTGCTCTATAAATTCTAAAAATTATTGTATCTGATGTTGCTGTACTCTTGCTTCTCTATCCTTTAATATAGTTCCAATTAACTGTATAGCTATTTGATTACTTCTTCCTTCTCCTATAGTTTAATATATTTATAATTTTTTTTTACTCCCAATTTTATTGTCTTGCTTTATTCTATGTTTCTTTACATTCTATTCTTTATTTTTGGGTGCTCATTTCTTACTCATTACCTGTGGTGAAACTTTCTCATGGGATATTCTTGTACACCCCCATATGTGTAGTTACTTCTTTAGTGATTTTTAGGGTTCCACAATCAGCTCCACATTGGATACTGCTATGTCGGACTCCAGACTGAACATAAATTATTGTTTGAACCAGAGTGGAGGTATGGGTATAAACAAACAGTTCACATGGCAATATCAGGAGGGAGTCTCAGTGTTCACTCAAATCCTCAATATCACCCATGTTTATTATTCAAGCAACTTTCATATCCAAAGGTAAACTGTGGGGGAAGTTCATTAGCATTCTGTCTCATGGGCAGCAGGGGAGAATGAGTTAGGTCACATCTGCAACTATGGCTGCTCTCTCTCATAGACTGAATTACCACCTATTCCCTGGGCAACCTTCGAAATTACCATAGAAGACTCAGAGTGACATTAGCATATCCTAACCTTCTGTTTAGGATGAGGTCTTGTTGTCTCACAAGGTTAGGTGGCCACCTTCTATGTGACAGGTATAAATTTTGTTCTGAAGATTGTTCAGAATTAAGGCTGCCACCAAATATAGAAAGACAGGCCTGTATAATTCAGCCCCTAAATAAGGAATAAAAATGTTATATACAACTAAACTCTTCAGTTACAAACACATACTCTGCCCCAATTGTTTGCTGTCTTCTTTGTAAGTTGACGAGCTGGACAACCTTAAATAACTTGGTTGTATTCTCTGTATTCTAATTTCCTCATCTGTATGTTTAGAATTAAGATAATCTTTTCCATTGGAATTATAGAAAATCTCACTAACTTCCTGCTACATTTGTTTCTTCATATTTTATACAGTGGTAATAAAAATGTAGTAACAAAGATTCTTGTAAATTTAAATAATCTAGGACATGTAATTGATTATTGTAGTAAATTAACATGTAAAAGACATTTCAGTGGTGATTGGTACAAGTCGACCACTCAAAAGCATTACTTGCTATTGGAAAATACTATGATAATGAAGAAAATTTTATAAATTTTTTCTAGGTAAATCACTATGAACAATAAAGGTGAACATTTAATTAACTTCAAAGGCTATAACTTTGAAAGGTCTTTAGTTAAAATGAACATAGTGGAAAACATCGACAATCAGGATATTAGAGATGATGATATCTTCATAGTCACATATCCAAAATCTGGTGAGTGGAATAAATTAGCCATATGGCATTTTTTTTGTTTCGCTTTTGTTTGTTTGTTTACTATGTTTGTTATTTCAAGACAGGGTTTCTCTGTCACTTAGGAGCCTGTCTTGGAACTTACTGTACTAGACAAGGTTGTTCTTGAATACACAGAGATCCATCTGCCTCTGCCTCAAAAGTGCTGGGATTAAAGGTGTGTGCCATCACCACCCTGTATGTTGGTTTGACAATAAGTGCATAAATATTCTCCTTTCCACACACTGTCATTTCAACAATATTAGTTTTTTTTTTCTCACTGCCACACCAGAATACACCATCATGTTGGAGAAGTCCCAATGGCAGCTGAAGGTACCTTGTCAACTTCCATCTGCAGTTCAACTCGATGAACCTAATCTAGAAAACCCCTCAAACATGTCCAATGACTTATCTCCATGAATATTTTAATCCCACCAGACAACAGTATCTATAACCACAGCAACCTATAGTTTAGAACAACATATGTTCAAAATATAAATAAATCAAGTGTCTATGGATAAGAACACTAGTCATGCATATATTGTAATTTATTGTGAAAAATACTGTGGGTGGGAATCAACTAAGAAGTCAACAGCAGCTTGTTGGTAAATGATGACATTATGCCTTAGTCTGTTGAACAAGTCTGAGATAATCAAAAACTTTTCTGTAAAAGATACATGCTTTATTATGTAGAGAGTTTATCTCTGACAATGATTAAATTTCCAATGCACGCAATTTTGTTGACAAGATTTCCAAGACAGATGTAATGTACTTAGGATTCTTAAAAATAGAAAAATAAATCTCCAACAGTGAGGCTTCCTGGAAACCTGGAAGCCTTGAGGTTTGTGAAACTAATCAGGATAAGCACCCACAAGCACTTCCATTTAACTCCTGTTTTCTGTTGGACATGAAGATGAACTGAAATTCCTTTAGTAAAGGTACTTCTACCTCAGCACAAAGTGAAACTTACAAGTTTTGGTGTAAGCTTTTGCAGTGGTTAACACAGACTACATAGTAAAGATATAGGTGTTAATATTTCACATCTGAACCCCACCCTCACTGTCCATGAACAATAACACCAAGATTTTACATCCATATTTGACCATTACAGTCAATAAAATGCTTTACAATAATAATTCTTTGTTCATATCAAATCCTATTTTGCTTTCCATCTTTCTGATGTTTAGTGTGGAACAGAACTTGAAGGACACTGTGAGGCTGGTTCACTGTAGATAACAGCTAAATAATTCAGTCACTGAAGACCCACTGGATGCTTCTAGAAATCCTCAGGTAGACTGAAATAGGCAATGAGTGTTTATGTTGCCCCACACAGGGTACCAACACATTCACTGTCAGAAGTCTTGGCGTCAGGGATGTCTTGGCATTATCAGCTCTTTTAAAATTTCAGGCTCTGCTTCATATGGTGTGCAATCACTCCTCGCTGGGAATAGTGACTGGTTGATCAAACCTACACCACTTACAGTAAATTATCTGGAATTGCCATTAATAATTAAGGGTTAATCAAATCTACATGACCACCAACAAATTATCTGGGATAGTCATTAATAATTCAGGCTAACTCTAAGCACGATCACATGGGATCCATTATTAAAGGGAATAGAATTGGAATTTTGCATTTATTTCCCAAATACTTCCATTGTACAATTTGATCTAATATTCCAGAGACCAAATAGCAATAACACTGAAATCTTTAGTTTTCTCTTTCTACATGTGTGCTATGATCAATTACTGGGACTATGGCAAGAAGTATTTGAGAGTAAAAAGCAAGATCAGGAGTAGAAACTGGAAATATTTAATTCTATTAGTTTTTTCACAGTACTAAAAGATAAGCAAATAATGAAGTAATTTCAGAAATGAGTCAGAATTGTCTGTGAACAGAAATAAAGTGGCATTCTGTAACCTGCTATCTATCTTATGAAAATTAAGAAATAAGCTAGAAGGCTCCAAACAGGAAAAAACTGTCAGCAAGACAGAAGTGCTGCTATCCCTGATATGATCTGACCACACTGTATGTATTCACATGTAGTAAATCGGACTTTACCTGTTAATATTTGCAAATGTTATATGTCAATAGCAGTTAAATATTAACGAAAGGACTCCACATGAAGCATAGAACACACAGACACTACAAGAATCTTCTGGATTATCACTACCAATCAGCACATCTTTGTGTGAGAAAAGAACAAAGAATTGTAGAGTTCAGCCTTACTGACTTGAATGTTCAATTCAGACAACGGGAAATGAAAAACGAGCACATCCAGGCCTGCTTGAGTTGCTAAAGGAAAAGAGAACTCCACATTATTTGTAAAATGGATACATTACTGTTTGTATTTATTATTAAAACCTACTTCAGCATTGAAAACAGGATTGTTATTTGTTCTTACAGGTACCATCTGGACACAGCAGATCCTCAGCCTGATTTATTTTGAGGGTCACAGGAACAACACTGAAAACATCCAAACAACAGACAGAGCACCATTTTTTGAGTACAATATACTTAATGTGGACTTTGCCAAAATGCCATCACCTCGTATCTTTTGTTCCCACCTCCCGTATTATTTAGTGCCAAAAGTTTTCAAGAACAAAAAAGTCAAAGTATGTCATAGAGCTTAGTGACTTATTGTACCCATGAAATGCTTTCTCTAAGTACTGAATAATTAGTCTATTCCAATGTTTTGCCACTGTGATGCAGCTGCTATGAACATTCTTGTGTGTGTCTCCTGGTACTCTCCCAGCAGCTTCCCTAGAACCCACACCCATGAGTAGACCTGAAGAGCCACAGTGACCAGAGTACTCCACTTACAAAGGTGGTGCAGTATTTCTGAAGAAAGTGGATTTGTCATTTCTTGCAGAAATGCTCAATAGATGACTTCCCAGTGTTTCACTAGTAACTTGACATATCATACTTTTAGATGTTTATCAACATGGCAGCTAGGAAAAGATGTCTCAAATGTATTTTAATTTGCATCATCATCCTCATATTAGGGGTGCCAATGTTGGAAGTTTGTTGGCCATTATTATTTTTGATTGTGTGAAAAGGGTTTATCATTATCCCAGTGTTTTATTACATTCTTCAGGTCAGTTTGTTTTCTATTACTTCTAGATATGAATCTCTTTTAGCTCATCCTCATTGCTTTTCTCATATGGGTTTTCATCAGCAACATTCTTAATTTTAGTGTTATCAAACTGATTGATTTTTTCTTGCTATTTTTCATATTTTTATTAAAAAATTACTTTTCATCTTCATACCAAACCCAGTTCCCCCTCTCTCCTCTTTTCCTGTTTTCCACCTATTCCATTCTCATTCCACATCAACTTCTCAGAGGGAGCAAGGCCTTCAGAAATCAACAAGGTCTGGAATAATAACTTGAGGCAGGAGCAAGCCTCTATCCTTGATAACAAGGCTGAGTAAGGTATTCCACTATAGGGAACAGACTCTAAAAAGCAGGTTCCTGTGAGGTCCTGTCCTCCCTGTTCCTTAAGGCCAAAACACAGGATGCAAGTAATGTTTATGCTAACCAGCTAAGCTTCCTGCTAAGTTCCATGCTTGCTTCTGCTATAGCCTGGTACAATAGCCTGGGGGGTCTATTTTACTTTAAAATGGTAATTTCTCAACCTGCCTGAAAGAAGCTCAGGTGCCAAGGCCCATCTATCCTATCTGACACTGCCTTGCACCCTCGACCACCTGCCTGCGGAGAAGCTCTCACAGGCGCCAGTTTCCCCAGCCCCTTCTGGGTGTGAGGAGTTTTTCTTTACTGGGGCCAAAAGTATTCAACCCTGGATTAAGTCGAATAAATTGGGCATTCTCTTCTTGAGGATGACTCGAACTCTGTATCTGTGTGTGTGCGTCTTGTGTTTTAACCCCTAGGACAATATGGAACTTGAGGGAGGTGGGTGGCGTGGAATGGCGACCCCCACAGGTTCCTGTACCTGGGATAGGTCCTGATGTGATTTCCAGGGCTTCCTCCAACAGAACAAGCCAGATAACTGTCACCCACATTTAGAGCGTCTAGTTCAGTTCCATGCAGGTTCCCCACTTGTCAGTCCACAGTCTCTAAGCTCAAACTAGCCTGACATGAGCTAAGTGTCCTTCTCCATATCTTTTGATTAATTTTAGTTTAATATCTAGTTTGTTAGATATTAGGACAGTTACACACACTTGTTTCTTTGGTATGCTTGCTTGGCAAATTCTTTCCTAACCCTTACCTTGAGGGAATCACTGTCTTTGAGGTTGAGGTGTGTTTCTTTTATACAGCAGATTGATGCGTCCTGTTTTTGTTTCCATCCTGATAGCCTGTCTCTTTCCATAAATGAATCGAGACCATTGGTATTAAGAGATATTATTGACTAGTGATTGTTAATTGCTGTCCTGTTTGGTTTTGGTGGTGGTGGTAGTGTTTGTGTGCTTACCTTCATTGGGGCTTGCTGGTATGAGGTTATCTGTTACCTGTGTTTTTTTGTGGTTGCAGCTAGCTTTTTTTGGTTGGAGGTTTCCTTCTAGTATTTTCTGTAGGGCTGGACTTGTGGCTAGGTATTGTTTAAATCTGGTTTTGTCATGGAAAATCTTGTTTTCTCTATCTATGGTGATTGAGAACTTTGCTGGGTATAGTAGTCTGGGCTGGAATCCATGATCTCTTAGTGTCTGCTTAACATCTGCCAAGGGCCTCCTTATTTTCAGAATTTCTATTGAAAAGTCTGAAGTTGAAGGACCCCTCGTTTTAACCACAATTACACTGTTTTGCAAAGGTTCACAGATAACTAGCTCAGGACCTCCGGAATGCTGAGCAAATAACAGGTTTAATTAAAGGCCTCCGGAATTCAGGACCTCCGGAATGCTAAGCAAAGATACCTGAGAATTAGAGCAAGGACAGCCTTATCTGGCTGCAAGACAGGGATTTATGGACTGGCCATAGAAACAAAGAAAGAGGATTGTGAGTCCTGAGTCACGTATAAACCGGGGCTCGTCACAAGTCAGAGGCTGTGCAATCAGACATCTGGTCGCCAGACAGGAAGGCAGAAAGAGATAAGAAAAACAGGTAGCACAGCCCCCTCCTTGGTATCCAGGTGGGTCTGGACAACCCCCTCCTTGGTATTTAGGTAAAAGGTCAAGAATGTGCCACTCAGCTTAGCCTTATTTAAATTGACCAATGAAAAGAATCCCCGTAACCACCCTGCATCTTGCTTCTGTAAACCTCGCTTTTTGCTCTCCTATAAAAACCCCTCACCCCCAACCTGCGGGGGCGCAAGTCTTCCGAGAGACTCTGTTGCCCCAGGTACCTGCGTATCCTATCCAATAAACCTCTTGCAGTTTGCATCCGGCTGCGTGTTTTCGACTGATCTTTGGGCACGGGGTCTCTCCCGAGGGAAGACGCCCACGGGAGTCTTTCAAAGTAATTCTCAGATTTGATCTTTTATGTTACTTGGCCTTTTTCTTTTGCAGGTCTTAGTATACTTTCTTTTTTGTATATTTATGGTTTTGATTTATATATGACATGGGGAAATTTTGTGGGGGGGTCTAATGTAATTGGTGTTCTGTATGCTTCTTATACTTTCACAGACATTTCTGTCTTTAGGTTGGGAAAGTTTTCTATGATATTGTTGAATAATTATATGCCATTGAGCTGGTATTTTTTTTCCTTCTTCTATCCCTATAGTTTATAAGTTTGGGTTGTTTCATAGTGTCCCAGAATTCTTCAATGTTTTGTGCTAAGAATTTGTTGAATTTAACATTGCTTTGACTGATGAATCAATTTCCTCTACTGTGTCTTTAACACCTGAGATTCTCTCTTCCATGTCTTTGATTCTAATGGTTATGCTTGCATCTACAGTTCCTGTTCATTTACCCTGTTTTTCCACATACAGAATTCCCTCAGTCTGTGTTTTCTGTATTGCCTCTATTTGAATTTTCAAGTCTTGAAATGTTTTCTTCACTTGTATGATTGTTTTTTCATAGTATTCTTGACAGTCATTAAAGGATTTTTTTATTTTCCCAGTTTTTTGTTTGTTTTTTCCTCCATTTCTTTAAGGGAACTTTTCATTTCCTATTTAAGGGCCTCCATCATTCTCATAAAGTTATATTTAAGGTCATTTTCTTCTACTTCATCTGTGCTGGAATATTCAGATCTTGTTGTAGAATCACCCATTTCTGGTGATGCCATGTTGCTCTTCATGTTGTCGTATGTATTCTTACACTGCTGTCTACCCATCTCTTCCTCCAATGGTCCAAGTGGGTTCTGTAGCTCTGGCCTCTTTCTCTGGGTACAGTTTGGACCTGTGGCTCCAGGAGTTTCTGTCCTTCCATGTGTTGGTGGGGCCAGTGGATCCAGCAGCAGATGATGGTTGATGGGAGAGAGAGCTGCTGCCAGGTTGCTGGGGGTTCTGTGATTGGCAGAAGTGCGGGGTTTAGGGCCTAGGGAACAGGGCTTTCCAGCCAAGATATTAGATACTCACCTGTTCTTTATGGTGCAGGTGAGGTCGGTTGGGCCTGTCTGAATTTTATTTTAAATAAATTCACAATTGAGAAATTTTTCCTTGCTTCAAGCTTAAAGCTACATTCTCTGGGTTTTGATTTTCTTTCTTATTTTTTTCCTCATTCCCTTACTTTATTTCCCTTATAAGAATATTTCTTGTAGTGAAAGCTGGCATGAGCTCCTCCTCCTGCCCTAGATACCCAGGTGCTAATGTTGTGGACAGAAACCCACAGATTATTGTTTCTATGTGTGAGATTTATACTACATATGCTCTTATCTCATATTTACATTAGGTTTATGAAAGATATGAGGAAAGGCTCATTTTTATTTGAAGATTATAAATAGATTACTAGTTATGTCATTATGATTATTAGGTTTTGTTTTCAGATTTATCTCATCTGCTATCACCTAAAACCCATCAATTGACCCTCATGGGTAATGAATTTTACTTCTAAATTTTTAATTAAGAATTTTATATAATATATCTTGATCACATAAGGCAAATAATGTTCAGTATTTATGAACATTACAAATAATATTGCTCTTTGAGAACTTAGCTAAATTCTTTTTAATTTAATTTAATTTTTATTTTTTTAAAAAATCAAGCTATAATTTTTCATTATACATACCAATCCAAGTTACTACTCCCTTGCTCCTCATATTTCCTCCACATACCACTCCCCTCCCCTCCTCATATTTCCTCCACATACCACTCCCCTCCCCCTCCCCCAATCACTCTTCAGATAGGGTAAGGCACATTGCTTTGGGGAAGATCTAAGGCCCTCCCTAGTATATCTAGCCTGAGCAAGGTATCCATTCAGAGAAAATAGGTTTTCAAAAAGCCAGGACAAGCAGATGGGATAAATCCTGATGCTACTGCCAGTGGTCCCACAGACTTCCCGAGCCATGCAACTGTCACCCACATTCAGAGTGACTGATTTTGACCTTTTCTTGTTCCTTTCATGTCTGGCTGATATTGCTACTAGATTAGGTAGACTGTTTCAGTGGTTGTACTCATCATGGTCTTGACCCCTCTTTGAACTACATTCTTAACCATGAAATGCCATAGAGAAGGGTTGATTATTATAGTATTCTTTGTAACACCAAAATATAAATAAATCACCATTTGACTTTCTACAGCTCAAAGACTAGAAGAAATAATTGTGCTTATTGTCATTAATGAATAATATAAAATTGTATTTAAAAACGTATAGGCATAACCAAGATTTGCTTAAAGAAACAATTCCATAATTATGTCTACAGGTTCTTTATATTTACAGAAATCCTAAAGATGTTTTGACCTCCTACTTTCATTTTATAAATTGGATAGTTGTACCTGAAGCCTCAAAGACAGTAGAAGCATTTATGCAAGCATTTCTAGATGGACGAGGTAAGTATTAATTCATCAACCCAGACTGAAATGAATTACACAAATGGTGTCTGTAAGCAAAATTCTCAGACTTACAGAAAATAATTTAAAGAATGGAGCAGAGAATTTATTTTTGAAAGGAAAATACAAGAACAAGAAAAACAATACCAGACAAATAAAAAACAAAACACAAAGAACTTATCTCTAGTGACAATTATATGTCAGTTCTATACACTATCAACTGGGTTTTTTATCTTTATTCACTATTTGAGAATTGTCAGGATTATGAAGGCATTTCATGTAAAAACTATTTTGATTTACAGATATTCTATAATCCATTCTATCAGAGCAAATGCTGAGGGTTGTTGTATGTTTCACATGAGCCCATGTATGTCTTTGTACTGCATATATGGAATTGTACATTCTACTACATAGGTGCATTGATTAAGATAAGAGGCTCATAACTATAGACAAAGGTTTCTGTTCCACATGGGCCCATAGTCATTCAGTTCCAAAAAAAAACCCACAGAGGCTTATACTAATTACATAAACTGTTTGGCCTATTAGCTCAGGCTTATTATTAACTAACTCTTACAACTTAAATTAACCCATAACTTTTCTATATGTTTAACTGCATGATTTGGTACCTTTTCTGAATGGAGCATTTCATCTTGCTTCCTCTGGATGATGACTGTCTCTTCCCTTCCTCTTCCTAGAATTCTTTTAGTCTGCTCACCGCACCTGCCTGGATATTGGCCCATCAGCATTTTATTAAACCAATATAAGTGACAAATCTTTATAGGGTACAAGAGCATTAATTTACTTGTTAGATGATATTCAGATTCTGCACCACTGCAGACAGTGAAAAAGAGGAGAAGCCGAGACATATGACCTCTGTGGAGAAGTAGGAAAAAGAACCAGTGTTGTTTAAAGCCACCTCTAGTCTCAGTCCATTTATTTCCCTATTGCTTCTTTTTTTCTTTTTTTAAAATTTATTTATTTATTTATTTGTTATTTTTAATTAATTAATTTATTTATTAAAAATTTCCATCTCCTCCTTGCCCCCCTTTTCCCTCCATCTTCCCACCTTCCCCTCCCTCTCTAGTCCTAAGATCAGTCAGGGTTCCCTGCCCCGTGGGAAGTCCAAGGTCCTCCCCCCTCCATCCAATTCTATAAAGGTGTGTGTCCAAACAAACCAGGCTCTCACAAAGTCAGTCCATGCAGTAGGATAAAAACCCAGTGCCTATGGCTTCTTTCATACTCCTGTAGTAACATTATATAGGCAGGTTTCTATGAATGTCAGGTAATTGTTCCCCCAAATCACTATACATTTTAAATAGGGATATAAATTTCCATTACAGGACCTCCATTTTTTTTTTCTAAAAATTCCAAACCAGAAAAGGAGGTAGAGACTTTGTTGTCCACTACATGACATGAACACACAGCTTGGCATTCTCACTTGTTACTTTTCTTCCCAGTGGTAGGAAGCAATTGGTTTGACCACATACGAGGCTGGTATGAACACAGACATGACTTCAATATTATGTTCCTGAGCTATGAAGATATGAAGAAGGTAAGAGAAGGTAGTTGTATTTTTAAATTATTTCTTTTACACAGTTATTCTCTTGGTTGAAAATACATTCTCCCAGTTATCTTCATACTTTAAATCTTCTTTGGGCTTTCTGTTAGAGACGATTCCTAATGTCCAGCCTCTGCTTTATTCACTGGACATTCTCTGTACTCTCTTCTCTATGTAAACTCATCTTTGTGATCCCTTCTCATGTAACAACCTGTTTCAAAGGCAATCCCAAAGCTTCACAGCACTAATGGCTTTCATAATTAAAACTTTATTATTACATGTTAATTACACCCAATAGTGGTATTGATTATATTCTTCCCCATGAATAGGGTTTGCATTGATCTTGTCTTGCCATGCTTTTTGCATTGTCATTCCTTTCTTTCACGAATACCTTCCCCAATCACTATTAAACACAATTCTATTTTAAGGTTGACTTCTTAGTTCCAAGATATGGAGAACACAAAAAATTTGACTCATTGGCTGGCTTATTAACTTAAGCTGATGTCTTGCACTGATGACAGAGTTAGAATTTCATTTCATTTTTTTTCTAAATAATGGTCTATTTTTATATACTGTATTCATCATATATCATAACTTCTTCATAGAGGGGCCAACATAATTATCTTTCCATTCTGTAATATTCTGAGAGTTAGTTTACTCGTACCCCTTAGATCTAAGTTTGATTTTGCTGAGTTCATCTGAGTTGAAACTTGTACTAAAATTAAACACAAGATTTACTTTTTATTAATTAAAGACAGACTGTTTTTAATTCATTCTCATTTATAGTTTTTGGGTTCAGGCAGTTTAAGTTTTTGTCTTTTACCTCCTGGAATATAATATTATGTCAAAATTATTTCCAAAATTACATTGTTAGCAGCATCCAGAGTTCTATCATTTTTTCTCTTTCTTTTAGCTGCATTGTTCTGTTTTTCTTTTTCTTTCTGTTCTTGGTTTTGTGCTCAGTCATTGTATATCAAAGCTATTTGTGTAAATCACTTCAGATTAAGATACAGTTATTTTATGAATCACAACCCACTAAGTTTCTTCCAAAGATGAACACACACAAAGATTGAGACTAACACACTCAAGTCATCTTATCAGGGCCCTAAACCATTTGGTTCCCACACGCAAACCTATCTCTGTTTCTGGTATTTAATGTATAGACTCCTAGGAAGCTCAGCTTTCACTAAATATGAAAGTAATTTCAAGCTTCTCGTAATCAATATTTATTTTTACATCTACAAAGGAAATACATGTGTTCATCTTATTTATTATTTTTGTTCATGAACTGGGAGTAGTGCTTCTTCATCAAGAAGAATGTTGCAACTGTTCTGGGAAAAATTAATCTGTCATAAGAAACTACTACATTCCTATTCAGGTTATTAACCCCAATTGCACTCTTAATTACGATCTTAAAATCCAGAATATGAAATCTGCCATTTCACCATCATGACTTGTTATGTAACCATTTGTCACTTCCACTCTCCAATTTCATTTTGCCAAGCTGAACCCTAGAATCATTAAACCATAATTCCTAATTCCTTTTTATTCTCTTCTCCGTCCTGAAAATCACCACACTATGTTCTTCCTGTATTAATTTCCTCAAGCTTAGTACTTGGCATGAACAAGACATGCATGGAGACATGCAGTTGTATTTTTATTGACTGATTTTACTTACTGTGATGTCCTCAATGTCATCAAGGCTTATTGCATTGTATATCAGAATTCCCTCTCTCTGTCTGCACATCCCATTTTATTTATGTTCTATAATCTATATAAGTTTGGCTTGATTCCATATTTTAACTGTTGTGCATACTGATGCTGTGACTATGGATGAACAAATCTGCCAGAGATTTTGTTGTCAATTGTTTGGAATCAGAAGTGAAAGCCAGAAATGAAGTTGCTGGGTCATACAGTGATCCTGCTTTTGTCTTTTTAAGCAAGTATCATAAGTTTCCCTTCACAAATGAACCACTTTATATTTCTTCCAGCAGCACCAGCGCTTATGATTTCCTGTCATTTTTAAGGAATAGTCATCATAATAGGACACAAGTGGTGTGCTCTTCTTGTTTGTTTCCACTTCTCAAATGACTCGTGATAGAGAGCATTTTTCTCCTGTGTTTAATGGATGGTTCTAGACTCCCTTTGAGAATGGTTTATTTAAAGTTTTAATTAGGTTGATTTTGTTGTTGTTGATTTTTGAGGGTAATCCCGTATCAGATAAATGACATAAATATTGCTTCCATTCTATAGGTAAACTTTTCACTTCATTTAATTTGTCCTCTTTTACATAGGTGTTACTAAATTTAGTATAATCAATTTAATAAGCTTTTTTTCTGGCTGTTTGTACTTGTAGAGACATATCCCAGATACCACTGTGAAATGCTATGCTGTAAATCATTCCCTTTAAGTCTCTGTAAGAGCATATTAGTTTAGACCCTTGCTTTTATGTTTGGCCAATTTTCATTTGTTTGAAATACATTGTAAGGTGATAAGTCAGCTTTGTTATTTTGCATATGGACACCTGATTTATTTCAGAACATTTGTTAAAGTGAATGACCTTATCCATTTAAAATTTTTGGCAGTCATATCAAAAATCATTTTACCATTATAAGTTAGAAATTATGTCTTGGGAAGTCTATTCTGTCTTATTGGTTTATTTCTGTATTCAGGTCATTATTACACTGTTAGAATTACCAAGACATTAAAATACTTCTTTTTGGGTAGAGATGACTCAGTATGTAAAGGGTTTGCTGCCAGTCCTGATGAGGTCACTACAATCCTTGAGGCACACTTGTAGGAAGAAGAGAACTAGCTCCTATGAGGTGTCTAAATTACATAAAACTTTTGATCAGATTTTCTTTTCTTCCTTTCTTTTCTCTTTTCTCTTTGAAAATTGAAGAAAACCACTGCAATTTTATTATAGACTGCATAGAATTAGTGGATTGGTTTGTATAGCATCTTAAAAATAACTGTCCTCAACTGGGCAGTGGTGGCACAAATTTTAATACCAGCACTCACGAGGCAGCATATCTCTGTTAGTTCAAGGCCAACCTGGTCTACAGAGATAGATCCAGAACAGGCTCTAAAACTTCAGAGAAATCTTTTCTCAAAAAAAAAAAAAAAAAAAAACAACTAGCTAACTAACTAACTAAATAAATAAATAAATAAATAATTGTCTTCCAGTTCATGACTGTAGGATGCTATTCTGTTTGTTTCTGTTCCTTTCTCTTTCATTGATATTTTCTTGGCTTCAGTGGATCTGTCTTTAACCTTTTTCCATTTATTCCTAAAATTTTTACTCCCACCATTTCAAAATTCACGTATTTTCATCTTATTTTAGCATTGCTCATCACTAGTATTTATAATTTCAAGTAATATTTGCATGTTGATTTGATTTATATCTCACAGCTTTGTAAAATCTCACAATTCTAGCAGATGTTTTGCTTCCCCTAGTTATGTGTTATGAGATCATACTGCTGTCCGTTTTACATAGAAAGTTTTACTTCTTTGCCTCTAATTTAGATACTATGTTTCTCTTTCTTGACTAAGGTATCTGCCTATTATTTCCCAGTAATATGTTAAATGGAAATAGTAAAATCTGAGTGATTGCATACATCAGATAAAAATGATCATATTTTTCTCAACCAAGTGTGTTTCCAGCACAGTGATTTGCATGGAGGTACTTGAGTTCTGCTCATTTCTTGATGATTTTATTTAACAAAGATATTGAGACAGATGTAGTAGCTCCTACCTCTAATCCCAACCCATGGGATGTTACAAAAGGAAGACCATCCTAACTTTGAGAGCAGCCTAGACAACATACTGAATTCCAGGCCAGTTTAGGCTACAGAGTCTCAAAATAGTTGTGTTTTATTTATTAATGGTTTATTCTGTTTCAATGAAAATAAATAAAAATTTCAGTTTTTATTCACCCTGTTCCTATGATGTTTTCATGCATTTAACAATATTTTCATTCCAAAAGTAAATCCTAGTAGTTCATGTTACTCACTGGGCTGTAACTCACACTCCTATTATGAGGTCAATAACTTCTTAACCCATGACTTTTTCAGGACCTCAGGGGCTCAGTGCTTAAAATCTGCAGTTTTTTGGAGAAAGAACTGAGTGAAGAAGATGTGGATGCTGTTGTGAGACAAGCTACATTTCAGAACATGAAATCTGACCCGCGAGCAAATAAAGATGATATTATGAAAAAGGAAATTGGGACAGGAAATGATCAGGGAACATTCCTCCGTAAAGGTGAAATTTACTAGTGTATAGTAGCAAAAAAAAAAAAAAAAAAAAAAAAAAAGAATTGAGTGTTCCCCGGAGTACTTTGGACAAAAACTCTGAACGGTTTCTAGTAGTTTCTTTTAAAAAAAATCTAATAATTTCACTTACTAAATAAATACAACTTTTCTTCCCTTTCTGTCACATAACTCATTTTTTTAAAAGAATATCAGAAGTCTTGTCCTAAGCAATGGATGTGTTAGAATTTAGGACTCTAATTCATCTTATGCTGTTGTTTTGAGGGATGATTTTTTGTTTTATTTTGTTTTGTTGGGTTTGTGGTTTGTGCGTGTGTGTGTGTGTGTGTGTGTGTGTGTATGTGTGTGTATGGTGTGTCTGAGGGAGAGAGAGAGAGAGAGAGAGAGAGAGAGAGAGAGAGAGAGAGTCTCAGTGTACTCTAAGCAAACACGGTTACATTATATTCATAATCCTCCTATCTCTACAACATACTCCTCTCTGAAAGCTAGGATTTCAGAGGATTATTGGACAAGTAAACTTACTGTCTGTTTGTATTGAAGACAAAGCTTAAAATGCTGCCTCCTCATGTGTGAGATTTTTATCATCATCAAAATTAGAGTGATGTCTTAATAACTTTATCTGACATGAATTCAATAAAGTAAACAGGCAATAAACTTATTATGATCTCATTATATGCACAGAGATATGGTTAAAAGTGAACATTTTCCTCTTGATGCCCTTTTAACTTATCATTGCTGTGAGTATTAGCTTATATTTGAATATTGCTGGGTTTTTATATTTTCAGAAACTATTTTATTTTGTCTTTTCTGCCACTTAACATCAATTCTATCATTTTATTCCTTAACAAGCCTAAATGTCTTACCCATGATAGCTCACCATCCATTTCAAATGTAAATAATATCATCCTCTCAGACAACTAAGAAAACTAAATGGCTATTTTTATTTTAGCTGTTATAGTGATCATTTCAAATTCCTATCCAGTAAAACTACAACGATAACTGCTCTGAAGCTCTGTGTCACCTTGACTTGTAAAAAACCTCTGGGTCTCATTTTTTTTCAGTTTAAAAATGAAAAACCAAACAGCATATACCTAAAAAGACAGTGTTAGAAATATACTATGTTTGAACTCTAAGTGTTTTCCTAGTATATGATTAGCACATAGTAAAATGTGCTTTTAAAATTCTAATATTTTTTTTTAACTTTTAAGGTGTTTTTTTTTTCTTTCTTTCTAAAAATTGGCTACAACTCAGTGTTAGTAGCTAGTGGTACCTATTTATTATGTTGCTACTCTGAAGTTTCTTCTGGGATGAGAGGAGAGATAGCCAACCTAGCCCTCCTGAGAACTCAGTGATGTGCAATGTGAGCTGTAGTGAGTAGAATGAGTTGGGTGGACTGCATCCCGATACTGTTACTTATGTACAATCCTGTGCTTCTCCCATTAGGTACCATTGGAGACTGGAAGCATCACTTGACTGTGGGTCAGAATGAAAGATTTGACAGAATATTCAAAAGGAACATGAAAAACATTCCCTTAAAGTTCATCTGGGATATAAATGAGGAGTAGAATTTTAATTACCACATGAATCAATCATATAAAAATGTACTAACTAAAGGTCATACATAAATATTAAAATTAATTTCCTTTACTCACTTAACTATGAATTATAAAGCACAATTCTTTAACTATATAATTAACTTATGCTTAGCTTGCTGGCCATAACATTGATTTCAAAAGTAGCTTTTAGCATTGGTATCTTTCACAAAAATGGTATAACATAAAACATAAAACATGACTTGTAGTCTTCAAAAATTCTTCTGTAGTTCACATTTTCTTCACCTTTAATTAATTCAGCATCAAACAAACACTAAAAATCCATTTACTCTTATATTTAACTTTGATTGCTTTCAAAATCAATACGATTGTACAAATGTGCAGTGTAAAATAGGAGTTGGATAAAAGCATATATGCTTTTTAAAAATAATATTACAGATCTCAGTTTGTAGTAAAGACATAAAATTCAAATATTAAATATATGGTGGTTTAAGTGTGAATGCCCATGATCTGGGGCCACACCTAGAGACATATGGGAGTTCAAGGGCCATGCTGCTGTTGGGTCCATGGCATTTTAAATAATCTGTACTGGCTACCAGGTTCATGGTGACACCTGAGCCCATGCTGCTACAAAGGACTTATGGCTGTATCCATGGTCCCATCACAGCTGCGGTTTGTACTGATCAGTGAGGAGTGAGAAACAAGAGGGTATCTTTCCCTTGCCCACACCACCATGCAGCAGATCATGGGGCTAGATTTCTCACTCTCAGTCTTCAGGGTCTAATCACCCACACCTGCACGAGGAGGGCCAGCTCTACTGTGCTGCCCTGAGGAGCTCCAGGACCTGCTCTCCAGACTGGTACGGACAGTCAGGGGTAGGGCCAACTGTGTGAAGCCCTATCCTCACTGCTTTGGGTGGATAAAGGAATTATGGATATCAACACAATGACAATCACGGCAGGGTCACGGACCTAGACATGGTCCCTGACAGCAGTGTAGGCCCAGATGACACCATGGCCCTGGGTGGCAGCACAGGATACTCAGATCTACATGGCCCCAACAGAGACTCAACCGTTGGACAGTAACTTGACCCTAGGTAAGAGCCCAGACTACTGATGTCTGAGTGGCCCTTAGTGGCTCTATACTCCATACACAGGGCAGAGTGATCACAACACGTCACCTGTGCACCACACTAGAGCTCTCCCTGTTGGCAGGGGACAGGTAGCTGGGCCTGTGAGCATGAGAGCAGGAAAGCTGTACCCTCCCTCATATACCAAGAGATAGCAAGGGTAAGGGAAATGTGCTCCTTGCCACCTAAAACACATAGGGAGCCAACCTTGTGGGCATGAGAATGGACGAGCTGGTTCTGTTTTCACCAGGTGACTGGGTAAAACAGTAGAGCTGGCTGTGGCAGTGTGAGTGTGGGTAGGCTGGACCTGAGCATGTAATAGCAGAACTACAGGGCTGTGCTGGGGAGCTCTCCCATTTACTGATTGATGGTGAAGGAAAGCTGTCAGGCTGACCAATCCAGCTATCACTCAGATCCAGAACCTTGTCTACGAGTTGGGCCACCCCAACATCCACCAAATCTATGAACTGTTGGAGAATGGGATGAGGACAGATCTGCAGATCCAGAGCTACTGGATCTCTATGACACAAGACAGCAATGGGATATCCAAGAGGAGTCCCAGTGAGGGCCCAGTATTCAGGGCATAGCAAAAGTCAGAGGTCTCAAACCAGACCAATGAGCATTGCAATGAACACTTACAAGTTTAGATGTATGGACTAAAGTGTGACTCTCTATTTCACACAACAGCTTCCACGGCAAGACTGCTTGGTTGTTTGTCTGTTTGTTTGTTTTTTTCTATTAAATTTTATTTTATGTTGTGGGTGGATGCTGCAAGAGCAGAAGGTAGAAATGAGGGGATAGGAAGATACATGCAATTGGGATACATAGTGTGAAATCCACAATGAATCAATAAGAGGTTAAATTAAAAAACCTGCTGGTTTAATTACAAGGTATTAGGATGAAAACAGTTCTGTCTGTAACATATCCTCATTAATCTCATCTCATAAAGTCACTTTAATAACTAGAAAAAAACGAGGTGAATTTCAAATTCTCAATGGAGAAGGAATTTAATTAATAAAGCAATTGTAGATGTTAAAAATTTTACTGTATTTGGATCATGTATATATATATGGTAGTAGCATTCGTGACAGTCACCAGATGGAACCAAATCAAGTTGGTCATCACTGCAACTAAATACTCAAGTTGGCTAATTTATGGGCCTCAAAGGGTTATATTGGGTTGTGGTTTCAACTATTTCAGTGTGCTGTTGCTTTCTAGTCTGTGGTAAGGAAATGCATGGTGTAGAATGTGGTAGCAAGGACGATCTCCTCAGAATCAGTGAATACAAAGAGAAGAAAAAGGAGGCTAAGGGCTAAAGATCCCACTCAATGACATGCCTCCATGTGTCTTATTTCCTCACATTATACCCTCCCAGTAAATCCTAATAGCATCATGGAGACTCAAGTCTTTACCATATGTCCATTTATGGGAAACTCGTTAAGATAACACACAATGCATTGCTCATGGAAGCTGAAACAAATACGTAAATTAATGACACATCAAATGATAGTGGGGTAAGTCATGTTTTTTGTTCTTTTGGGGCTTGTTGCTGTTGTTATTTTGAGAAAGGATCTTTTTACATAGTCCATGCTGTCCTAGACTCTCTATGTAGACCATCCTGGCCCCAAATTACTCTGCTTCTACCTCTTGAGCGCTGGAATTAAAGGTTGTGCCACTATACCTATGTGGCAAATACATGAAAGAATCCATTTTAGAAGAAAAAGATTCATCTTGGTTCCTGGGTTCAGAAGTTCTAGCTCATGGTTTACAGGCTTTGTTTCGTGACCCATGATGGCATAGAGCATCATGATAGCTTGAAATTTTTGCATCAGTGTATAAGTCCAATATTTTTTGCAAAGAAAAATAACTTGTTTCCAATAAACTTACACAATATGTAGTTTTTCATTACAGTTATTTATGGAGTACCAGTAAAAAAATTTTTCTTGAACCTATGCAGAGCCATAAATGAGAAACATGAAGCAGAAAGGGATTTACAGTTTATCAACCTTTCTTTTCTGATTTCTTATTTTGGAATTTCGTGTTCCATCATCTATAGATAATATGTTCAGTGTTCATGAAAGTTTATTTTAATGACAGCCATTAAAATGTAATTTAAAAAGACCAACTTGACATGTGTGGCAACCTCTGCAATAGGATTTTGCAATGAGACTGAGCTCAACTCAGAATGTATTATGGCAATTTAGAAAAGGGCCAGTGAAAACCCCATCAGTGAACAACTCGGGAATGAGGGAAATATCATGCAAACTGACTTATCCTTGTTGAAGCCAGGAAGTATAGGCGGGTCAACCAGACAGGAAGTAGAGGCAGGGCAATGAAACAGGAGAAGGCTAGGAAGGAAAAAGCCCATTCCTCCATTCCTGCCTAGACCACAGAGAAGCAAGATGTAATCTGCCCTGATGGAAAAGATACTGAGCCACGTGGCTAACACAGACAAGAAAATGGCTTAATATAAGCTATAAGAGTTAACAAGAAGCCTGAGCTAATGAGCCAGCCAGTTTAGAATCTTATGGAATCCAGTGTGTGATTTTCTTTGGGGCTTGCCAGCTGTGGGATACTGGGCGGGCAGATACTCCAACAAACAGGTCCCTTCATGTTACAGCTGGATCTTGAGGAAGGTTGTTTTCTAATTTTCTGAGAAATTGTCATATTGATATCCGAAGGTGCTGTACCAGTTTGCACTCCCACCAGCAATGCAGCAGTGTTCCCTATACCCCACATCCTCTCCAGCATAAGTTGTCATTAGTGTCTTTGATCTTGGCCATTTTTACAGGTATAAAATGGAACCTCAGACTTGTTTTGATTTGCATTTCCCTGATGAATACAGATGTTGGGCGTTTCCTTAAGTGTCTTTCAGGAATTTTAAATTCCTTTGTTGAGAGTTCTCTGATTAGGTGTGGACTCTATTTTTTAAATTAGAATATTTGTTCTTCCGAAGACCAATTTCTTGAGTTCTTAGTATATTTTGGAAATCAGTCTTCTGTCTGATGTGGGGTTGATGAAGATCTTTTCCCATTCTGTAGGCTGCTGTTTTGTCTCATTAGCTGTGTCCTTTGTTTTACAGAACCTTTCGATTTCAGGGACTCAATTTATAATTTATTCTCTTTTTTTATTGTTTTTTTTTTGTTGTTGAGATCTTCTATTTTCCATGCTCCCCTCTCTGCCTTTCCCCCTTCAACACTCTCCCAAGGTCCCAATTTATTCAGGGGATCTAGTCTTTTTCTACTACCTATGTAGATTAGATCTATGTATGTCTTTCTCATTGTTGTCTAGGTTCTCTGGGATTGTGATTTGTGGACTAATTTTCTTTGTTCTAGTTTTTAAAACCACTTATGAGTGAGTACATGTGATAATTGTCTTTCTGGGTTTGTGTTACCTTACTCAAAATAATGTTTTCTATCTCCTTTCATTTGCCTGCAAATCTCAAGATGTCATCATCTTGTTTTCTGCTGAATAGTACTCCATTGTGTAAATGTACCACATTTTCCTTGTTCATTCTTTGGTCTAAGTGCATTTAGGTTGTTTCCAGTTTCTCGCTATGACAAACAATGCTGCTATGAACAAATGATTTGGTAGTATGATTGGGCATCTCTTGGGTATAATCCCAAGAGAGGTATTGCTGGATCCTGAGGTAAGCCATGTTGGGAATTGAACCCAGGTCCCCTGAAAGAACAGCCATTGCTCTTAACCTCTGAGCCATTTCTCCATCCCCCGGCTCTGGTTTTCATAACTGACTTAGCAGTTTAGTAAAAAATAATTTCCAGTAGTTGAGAAATTATTGGGGACTATTTCACTCTGGCATTAAAATAAAAAACATGGTTCCAAGATAGAGTAACAGGACCTCATTAGTATAAAGGGGTCAACATTTCTTAAGAGACGTGACTTTCTTTTCTTTTCATTCACAAAAAATTTTAAAGCATCTGCGTAGGATGGGGTCAGAAGTATAGTGTGGAGAGTTACACACCCCCATGCCTGGCACCAGTTGATCAAGAATACCCCACTGGACTGGAAATTACAGAAATGGAAGATCCCAGTGTGGGTGAGGAACAGGCTTCCAGGGCCACACAAGAGGCTGAGGAGAATGAAGAAACTGATGATGAAGATGATGCCAATGATGACTAACAGTAAAATTATCCCAGTCTGATGTGGCACTAACACACACAAATCTTTTACAGGGACTCATTTCATACACGTACATATATTTTGAAAATACATATATGTGTATGTTCGAAATGATGATATAAGATATCATTCCTTTAAAGTTATCAAGTGGGAATGGGGGTTACAGGTGTCTCAGTGGTTAATAAATATTTTGTTCTTGCTGAGGACATTTCCCAACACCTAAGTCAGGTGGCTCAAGGTCTAGCCCCAATGTCCTTTCCTGCCCTCCACAGCAACTGTTTGTGTGCATGAGTCATGTGTGCTAACACACATATAGTTAATGTTTAAAAATGTTTTAAAAGCTGGGAATGCTGAAACACACCTTTAATCCCAGCACTTGGGAGGCAGAGGCAGTAGGATCTCTTTAGATCCAAGGATACCCTGGTTAAGTTAGCTAGTTCCAGGACAGCAAGGGCTACATAGGGAGACCATGTGCTGAAAATAATGAACCTTGAAAAAAATATATCAATTTTGAGACTGCATATAAAGAGCTGCTGTACAGGAAGTTGCCCAGTAGATTTTCCAGCTCATATGAGCACATCACTGTTTAAATAGCTACAACTCAGGAAATTAACACTTAAGTAAACCAGATTAGGAAATATCTCTCCAACAGGGTTTCACTATGTATCTCTGGTTGTCTTGCAACACACTCTGTGGACCAGGCTGACCTCAAACTCACAAAATCTGTCTGCTTCTGCCTCCCAAGCACTGGGATTAAAGTGTATACCACAATGCTCAAATTGAAGTTCAAATATGGCAAGTATTGAAAGTTATAATTCACAATGCTTTTTGTAAATGTATAGATTTTGAGTGTCAAGGGATATGGAATTTAAAACATTGATAACCAGGGACTGGAGAGGTGGCACAGTGGTTACGAGAACTTACACTAGTTGCTTATGCAGAGGACCTGGATTCAGTTCCCAACATCACTACAACATTGACTATGATAGATGACTATCTATTAAATTTTATTTCTTAGTTATATATTACATTTTAAAATGAGCTGAGAAAACAATACCTTAATCAAGAGCACAAATACATATACACAGTATAACCAAATTGACCTTAATTTTGTAACAAGAAACCAAGATTCATCCAAATGCAAAGCATTCATATCTATATCATATCCTAATTTAAATGTAAACAAATATTTATAAACAATATTTGGGAATTGGAGTGTAGGTCTCACCAAAATGCTTCCTGCTTCTTGTTGGAAAAGTATTTTGGGGCATGTTCATGGCTACCTTTCAGGGTTCTTGGTCCATTGAACTAAATTTTCCTGGAAGGAATCCTTAGGTTCTCATTCTCTATGGAAATAAAAAAAAGAACTTTCTCCAAAGCAACATATCCATAGAACCAAATTTTGAAGATATGACACCTTTAAATTATTACCATGTGACTGTGGCTTACTGGAAAGGTTCTGAGGCTACATGCTGTCTTCTTGACTCTGCCTTTTTCTCCCAGCATTCTGTTTACTTTTCCCTGCCTAGCTCTCTTCTGCCCTACCACAGGCCTAAAACAGATTCATTATTCATTAACCAATAAAAGCTACACATACACAAAAGGACTTACTATATCAGACGGGTGCCCAGCAGTAGGGAAAGCATTTTGGAAGGGATTTTAAGGTGAATACAACTTCCAGTAAAAGGTATGTTGGAGAGAGGGGTGGTTGTTGAGATCTGTGTTGCAGAGGCAGGCAGAGACTGGATAGTGTAACAAGGCTGGTGCCAGGGCTCCAGGGATTGATATGACAGGGCCAAGGGAACAAAGAAAAGACAAACACACAGAAACACAGAAAAACTGGAATCCAGGGAAACTGGGTTCTCTGATGGAAAAACCTCATCAACCCCAAATCTCAGTGGCTTTATTGTACACACTTGAACAGGGAGGAAGAGATTTTGAATATAGCCAGAGCAGGAGACACTGTTATTATATACACCTGAACAAGGAGGCAGGCTTGACTAATCTTGGAAGGCATAGAAGTCTCTGTAGTATGTCAGTCTTCAGACCATAATTATGCGATGTGGGAGAGGGGCATCTAGAAAGCTATAGGGGATATGGTCTTTCCTCACTGCAAATATTTACACCCATATCCCAGAACAGGCTTAGATACCCCTCTGAGCTACACCAAGAAAGGTTTTGCCATTTCTATGAGGCTTGAAGCATTGGTCCTTGATATGACCATGAGCTCATCAACAATATACATTTACTAAGGATTTCACTGGATGTTCTACAGGCTGAATTTTACAAATAAGCAAGAAATTGTATTAAGCTAGGTCACACAAACACATGTAAATGTTAGAGCATGTGGATTCACTGTTAAATACAGATTAAGATAGGAAGATTCATTGGAAGACTGGATGACTGAAATCCATGTTAGAAAATTTCACACAGGATTTTGTTTTGTTTTTCAAATAAGCACTTTTAATTTCTCAGTATCCATTCCCTTTGGGGACTTTGGTTCTATGCCAAACAGATATGTTCTCTTTTTAATCTGAAATTTGAGCATCCTATAATTCTAACTTGATTGTTCCTGCTTTAATAATTGACCCCATCTTGTAGCCTATAATTGATTTGGTTCTAAGACATTTTCTAAGTTATTCACAGTTTCTGTAAATTTCTAAGTCTTTCAATGATTCTTTTGTTTATTGGAAAAATAATAAAATTCTCATATACACACAGATGCAAGAGTTGTCTGACCAGAATCTAACATTTCTCCTACAGGCCACTTTACAAAGGCTTTTTATCAGAGATGGAGGGTTAGTGGAAATATTTAACAAGAAAATCCTTGGTTTTGAATCTTGTTGCATATTAAAGTGCTCACTACACATTGAGGAGGTACTCATTTTATGATAACAGAAGATCGCCCACCCCGGAAATTTACCCCTTACAACACCACCTCATTGGTTCAAATTTTGAGTTCAGCTGGTAGATCCAGTTATTGAGTTGATTGGACCAGAAGAACTCTCACCTAGTCAGTGGATCAGTCATTTGTTGGATTATCTGATATCTCTATTGGAGATGTATGTCACAAAGGGTATAGCTTGTTCCTGGCCTCTTCCTGCCTCAACTCTTCTTTCTGGCCACAGTGTGTCAGTGGCTCTGCTCTAGCATCACAGCAGTCTACAGTCATGGTGTTCTGTCTCACCACAGAGTAAAGCCACCTAACACTAAAACTTTGAAGCAAAAGAAATCTTCCTCCTTTGAATGGGTTTGAGTGTTTGTCACAGCATAAAGGCCTGATTGAGACAGCAGTGGAAAATACAGTGAACTGCAGTGAGCTCCATCTTGTAATATTCTTGGGCTAAGCACTAATTTCTCTGGCATTTGGGTTCATGGGGTTAATAATAATGCTTGTTTTAAACAATTGTTTTAAAGTTAAATGTATTAATAGATGTTAAGTATGAAGAGTAACTCATACAAGTTATGGCCCAATCCCTTAGCTTGTAAACTATAAAACAAGATTGTGAGACATGGACAAGATATCAAAATCAACAATGCAAACAAGTTGTTTTATTCAACTAATTACAGACAATGATGTACTAAGAAGTATAATATGCACTTATATATTAAATGTTATACCAAGTACTTAGGTGAAATCAAATTCTTCAACCATATCTGAGTTCAATATCAGAAAATCGGATAAGTGCAAGATCACTGAAATGTTTCATTCAAAAATCTTCTCTGCTGTGAACACTTGAGAAGCCTGTTTCCTGGCCTTGAAAAAGAATCAAGAAGAAAACAGGCTATGAATTATAACTTAGAAATTAATTACATACACTATGTTATCATTTTTTTAAAATTGGATTTTTTGTTTTATCTGTGTGTGCGTGTGTGTGTGCGTGTGTGCTCTAGAAGACAATTTATAACAAGTGGATCCTGATGTTAGAGTTTGTCAGAGTTGGCAGCAAGTATCTTTGACAGTTGAGCCATTCTGTCAACCCTTCATCTTATCATTTCAATATAGAAAATAAAACATGGATTTTTTCAAGATAACAATGAAAAATCCTGATGGAAAAATCTGATCTAAAACTTTAAAAAAGTACTAATACATATTTTCAAATAAAGTAATAAAGAATATTCTAGATGAATGCAAAATAGTGTGAAACTAAATGTTATTCCACGATGAACTCTGTCAAATGTAAAAATGCTGACTCACAATGATACAGATGGGAGGGGGTTACGGAACACAGGGGGAAAAAAGAATTGAAAAGAAAGCCAGAGCTATGAGCAAATAATCCCACCACTCAGGATGCAAACCAGGTGGATCTCTGTGAGTTCAATGCTAGACTGGTCTACATAGTGAGTTATAGGACAGTTAAAACTGCAGAGAAGGACCCTGTCTCAAAAGCAAAAACTGCAAAAACAACAAAACCCTTATTTATTATGAGTTTGTATTCCAGCTATACCACTCCTGGCTGAGGAGCTACTGTATTTGACTTGTGTATGAGGGAGAGTCAGTTTTCTTTAAGGGTGTGACTTTTGGTAAGTTGACCATGCTCCAGTGGCTGGTCTTATATCCAGAAATATATAAGAGAAAAATTGGACTCTGTGGGTTACAGGAAAAAATCAATAAAGCACATGATGAGAAGTTGATAGGAAAGGATCTGAGAGGAGTTAAGGGGAATAGAGGAGAAAAACATGGTCAAAATACATTGTATACATATATAAAATTTTCATAGAGTTAATGATATTAAAAGAGATACTAAAAGAAAAAAATGGAAACTTTCATTGTACTGTTTCCAAATTTGGTTTACAAACAAAAGCATATTAAACTAAGCTAAACTAAACAAATTAGGTTAAATAAAATTCAGAGTACTGGAATAAACAAATAAAAACTAAGAATGTAGTGAGGTAAATTAGCAACTATTATGAAGATGTGAAAATAAGATAGGCACAGTATTAAATGCCAGTAATCCATGAGGTTGAGGTAAGAGAATGAGGAGTTCATAGTTAACCTACGTTACACAGTGAACTCAAGACCAGCCTGGGCCACGTGAAACCTTGTCTCGAAGGTTAAAAAAAGAATTTAAGTGAAAACAGGTTGCTAGAAAAATGGCTCAGTAGTTGGTAATGTGGTTCTTACAAAAGATGTCAGCTCAGGTCTAAAAACATACTGGGCAGCTCATGACCACCCGAGACTCTAGGTATAGCGTCTCTAAAGACGTCATCTGATGCCTTCTGACATCATGTTCTGGTGTTACACTCATGTGGTTTGCATGCAGGCACACACAAAAAAATATAAAACTGAGATTTTTTTCAAAAAAAGTTTTTCTTTTCTTTTGAATTGGCGATATGACTAATGTCTGTTATATATACCGAATTATTTCTTAACTAACATTAATTAGAAGGTATTTATTCTTTCATCTAACCAAAGCTTAAACATCTTGACAGGTCTTAAATAAATAAGTATTTCAAATTATATTCACAGCAAAAAAATATTTTGACAATCATAAGTAAGTTTCAAGAATAAAAAAAATTGAATGCCAAACTTTGCTTGTGAATAATAGGTAAATTATTATAAAAATATAACAGGGCAGGTAGAATGGCTCGGTTATTAGAAACCTTACCTACCAAAGCCAGTGAATTGAATTTAAGCCCTGGGACTTATTCGGTAAAAGGAGAGAAACACCTTCTGAATGCCTACACACAAACACACACACACACACACACACACACACACACACACACACACACAACAAATTTAAATAAAAATAATCATAATTTAAATGCTTTAATACAGGAGTACATGGTGGTGCACACCTGTAAACTCAGCATGGAGAAGCAAAGGCAGGTCGAAGTCTGTGATTTCTGAAGCTAGTCCGGTCTATATAATGAGTTCCAGGTCAGCCAGGGATGCACTGTAAGAAGACCTGTCTCAATTCCAAAAGAAAAAAAAAGGAAAAGTGGGTTGATAGGTGTGTATGCGGGATCAGAAAAGGTGAAGGTAGAATAATCAGAATGAATGATATACATGTAGGAAATCTTTAAAAAATTAGTGAAACTTCTTAAAAAGTATGAGAATTAGGGCTGGAGAGAATCAGTCAGATTACTTCAAGAGGCTACACCGGGCCAAGTACTGGATAAGCTGCTACACTGCAGATCTGACGTCACTACTCACTGTAAGCGTCCTCATTTGAAACAGGGGAACAATAACCATTTACCTTACAGTGATGCTATATACATTGGTATATGTAAAGTCCTTATGACAGCTGTAATTTTAAACGCACAGCTATGATCTAACAAACCACCCTCCCAATCCCAAAGGAACAAAGTCAATAGTAAAGAGCAGAAGAGACTTGTTTAGTATTCTAACAACAACAGTGACTCACTTTCTAAAACTGGAAACATAAAAGCCAATTAACATGTTGTTCACCTGGAGACCAGTCAACACCTGATTACCACTATACTCCCAAAAGTTACTGTGTCCTGGAAAGCAAGCATCGGAACCCATACAAGAATTAAAATGAATTGTACATTTATATGGCCAAAGTAGTAATAGGATTAAAAATAGGTTAAAAATAATTAAATAAGTTAAAAATAATTGGGGATTAAATACATTGCAAAGTAATCTTTTAAAGCATACTTAAATTGAGTAACATAGCAAACAATCCTTATCTTTCTATTTTCTATTAAGTATCTGAGATTAGCCAGCTTCTGTTTTAAATCTGAGTCCTTTTCCTTTAACCTGTTCTTTCTCATGTCTCTCTTGAGTATTCTGTTTCATCTTTAGAGGGAAACAAATATGAAGTCCTAATAAGTACTCTTTTTAGTTTTCCCACAGAATTCCCACACCAGGGCTGCAGATGTTCTCAATGGTTATGAGAACATAGTCATCCACATTATGGTAAATTATAGATTTAGGAAATTTTTCAGATATTATTTACAATGATTGACTTACAAAGTATTGGCATAGGGTGGGGCTAATGAGCATTCTCTGTGGAAAAATGATCTATTGGTATCTCCTAGTAGAATGAGATTCATTGTAAGTCAGCAAAGTGAAGGCAAATGTTTTTGTCTCCTTTTTTTTAAAGTATAGTAAAGAAACAATCCTTTAAATCAATAACTATAAAAGGCCATTCTTTTGGTAATAGAGAAGGCAGAGGAATTCCAGGCTGTAGAGGGCCCATAGGTTGAATCACCTTGTTGACAGCTCTTAAATTTGTCGCATTCTCCATTTCCCAGATTTCTTTTTAACAACAAAGGCAGGAGAATTCCAATAGCTGGTCAATTCTTTACTATAGTGAGCATCTAGATGCTCCTGAAGCACCTGTTTTAGAATCCGCAGCTTGTCTTCTGTTAAAGGCCACGGCTTAACCCATATTGGTTTCTCAGTTAACCATTTTAAAGGTAAGGCTGTTGAAACCTCTAAAGCTTTCTTAGTTGCTCTGTGTTCTTGTACAGCCTGAATGGCTGATGACCTTTGTGTTTAGTAACTTATAATATCCTTCCCAGAAATATGAGTTTCTGGGATTCCAGGAATATTAATCTGGGTGTTCCATTGCTCAAGCAAGACCCAACCCCTAAATTAACTACAATTATAGCCACATATGGCCTCAGCCTTCCTCTCTGTTCTACTGGCCCTATGTATTCAACCCATCTCGTGCTTTGTTTCCCATGAGATAGGGTTTCAGTTTACAGGAATTGAATATTTGCCTCTTGGATGCATGATTTGGAGTAATTATACTTATATCTAAACCTGTGTCTAGTAATTCCTAAATTACAATGTCATATATATCCACTCTTAGCTTTGGTCTTTGATCATCTATAGAAGTCTGCAAGAATATATATTTCCTGTATCTTATTGGAATTTTTATTCATCTTCTATGATTATTTCATCATCCAGAACAATATAGTTTTTTAAAAGAAAGCTCTGGTTTTTTTTTGTTTTGTTTTGTTTTGTTTTTTTAATTTTTCCTGGTGAGACATGTCCTCCACAGTTAATGGAAATGACTGGACCACTTTTGATTTGGGGGCCTTCTAAAGGCCTCTCCAAAGATTTTCCTGATGTTATCAGGTTGTCTTGTCTGTTTTTTGTTGATTTTCATTCATTGGTCCAATGTTGGCCTTTGCCATACCTTTTACACAATCCAGAATGTTGAAACCTTTTATTTTTGCCATTTTCAGAGGAGACATTTTTTCTAGGAATTTCTTGTGTTTACTCACTTCTCAGATGTCCTATTCTACCACAATTAAAACATTTGGCATTTTGATGTGTCCTCATGACTTTGAAAATTGCTTCTTCTACCCAAGGTTTAGTATTATAGTCAAATATCCTAATGGTCATTATATTCAGGATCAATTCATCCATCGGCGCTGATCTTGCCTTTAATGGCCCAAGTATCTTTTAGCATTCTAAGGTGGCACTTTCAAAAGACAGAGATTCCATAAGTACTCATTTAGCATCTGAATCTGTCACTTCTATTTGTATAGCCTTAGTCACTCAATCATTGTAAATAGTCACTAAAGGGTTCTCTCTGACCCTGGTTAACCCTAGTGTATGACTCAGTTAATTTTGCTGGTCTTTGAATCCTGTCCAAAGCATTTAAGGATGCTATGTGCCATAGAAATAAGATTGTTCTTCATAAAGAACAAAAGCCTGTGAATGTCAAGTTCAACAGTATGAATTCTTTCAGATAATGTCACAATACCATTTGACAAGGATTGTGTTTTGTTTGCCAAATTAATGCTATCCTTTTCAATAGTATTATTTTTTTGTCAGGTAACTTTTGATTTTCAATGGTATTAATCCTGTCAGCAAGCTGTTCATTATTAGTCAGTAAGGACTGTATAATTTCTAAAAGTGCCTCATTCTTGGCTTTGTTATCAAACCATTTTCTTAAGGATATAATATGAAGAAAAAACTGAGTCCCAATATTCAATATATGGATGTATCACAATAACCATATATGCCTTGCAGAATAAAATCCATAGTAGCAGTAAAAAGATTATTGAAATTTTGCATGCTAATGTCTGCATTATATAAATTTCAAGTTTATTGATTTATTAATTAATCAAATAGTTACCTGTGTTATGAGACCTGTTAAATTGTTTTAGGTGTAATAATCTTTACTGTCAAGCATGTGTCATGTTTGCAGAATAGTGAAAAACAGTGGCACAACTGGTGGTGGAACACACCGTACAGTGCTGCTTTGGATTTTGACCTTGGTACTGGTTAAATATTGACAAATATTCTTTGCCTGACAAATTAAAACCAATTAAATCAACTCTGTACGTAGAGAAAGGAGCCCAGAACTCAGGAGCAGGAGACACAAACTGGAAACTGCAAATCACAGCAGGGATTGTGGCAGTGGGGGAGGGGTGAGAAATGTGCATGCCCTTGGGAAATTAGCAAGTTGCCATGGGCTTACCTCCTCTGTGGCAGGGGTTTTACGAAAAAGAAAAAAAAAAGAAGAAGAAGAAAGAAAATCACTTAGTAGGTGAAAGCAGCAAGCCAGGCAGGCAGGAATGGGAGACCTTCTGGGCCCTGGACCATTTGGGCCTTTTGGACCAGTCTACCCAGTAGGTATGGAGTTTGGGCCCATGTTGGGTGCCAGATGAAGATGGATGCAAAAAAGAAATCCCACACTAGCTCAGAATTGAGAACAATAAAAGTTATTGATTTATGCGTAGACTCACAGTTCACAGTCCTCTGCTCGAACAGGAAGCAGCAACTGAATCCCAGAGGCAGAAGAGAGAGGGAGCACACTTTACATTGGCATTTATATTATTGAAGGCCACACCTGAGTGGGCAGGTAACTTAAAGCATCCTGGACTGAAGGATTTTCTACAGCACTCTGACATACACAATGTAGGTTGTAAGGCAGAAATATTTCATTTCCTGGTAAACTATATCTTAGAAATAGTGTCATAAAACCAAATTAAGTAATTTTTTCTCATACCAAGTATTTTTATTCCTAAATTTCCTTATTGTCCTGAAAAGGTTACTTTTTGCTATATTATACTTTAGAGTTAAAATTAACAAGGCTGTAAATATGTAAAGGGGTATTTAATAATAGCTTATCTAATAAACATTCTCATAATTAACACAAAGTAAAATTATACATTTTTTTTTGCCATGGACTATAGAGATGCTTCTGAGAAAAGGACACTTGCTACTCTTGTGAAAGACATGAGTTCAGTTACTCTTATCCACACTGGGCAGCTCAAACCCACCTGTAGCACATGCTCCAGGGGATCTCACATCTTTACACAGGGAAAACAGACTCAATAAATGGTGTTAGAGAAACTAGTTCTGTTGTATATAAATGCTTACAATTGTAATGTTGGTCTACATGGGCACCAGGCATCTAAGCAGTGCACAGATATATATTCAGGTATAACTTCCATACCTGTAATATATTTTTAAAATCAAAATACAAATAGCATATTTAAAGAATCATAAAGGAATGCACATTTGTGATGATTATTAAAGAAATTCTTTTATCTTAACATGAACAGAACACACACAGTGAAGACAAAAACTGATCAATCTGCTGTGTATAGTGGCTCATTCCTGCAATCCTAGCATTTGGAAGGATGAGGCAGAGGTCTGCTAAGAGTCTGAGGTCAGCCATGCTAATAAATTAGTTCTAGGACAGACTATGCTACTGAGACTCTAACTTCCCTTCAAAGAAATCATGTAAGATATTTAACTATATTCAAATTAAAAAGTTTTACCTATAGATCCATATACATATCTGGAACAGGGTTACATGGTTTTACTTATGAAACTGGGGAGGCAGAAACATTTAGATCTCTGTGAGTTCAATACCAGCCTGGTTTACAAAGATGCTTGCAGAATAACCTGGAATACAAAATATGATCATGTCTTTAAAAATAAATATCTCTCCTGGATCTCCTGGAGGTTTAGACTGTCATAAGCTACCATGTGAGTACTGGGATTTGAATCTGGATTCTCTCTAAGAGCAGCATGTCCTCTAAACTACTGAATACGAAGGCATCTCTCTAGACCTGTGAGATCATGTCTAAAAAAAAAAAAAGCAAGTAAAACACCTAGTCATGAAACTGCAACTCTTCCATTTAAACTGGGGTAGTACCTTAGCAAAAATACCAATATATAACTGGAAGAAAAAAGAGTTACCAGAAAAAGAGACATAGCATCCTGAAAAAGACAGGTCTGATTGTTAATACCACCTAGCTAGCGCTACAACTAGAGGAATATGCAAGTCCTAGAAAAGTTGTATGTACTGAAAATATTAAGTACATAAGAATGTTCATTTTGTCCCAGAAGAAATGATGCATGCAAAGCTTTTAGTATCAAAATGTAATGAGCAACAGAGTGGCTATTATCACCCGAGGCTATTGAGCATTTGAACTGTTGCATACCTAATTAACTATGCTGTGAAGTATAAAATATACCACAAATTTGGAAGACTATACAAAAAATTTTAAAATATTTCTATTAATAGTTCTTTTGAGTTGAACATGATAAACATTACAATATAGAAAAACCCCTCCTAATACTTAAAATATGTTGAAATAGTGCTGTAAATACTGGCTTTAGCTATTAGAAGATGGAATTTAGACTTATGATGTCCAAGAGTTTTTGTTTCAACCTTACTGCAAAAGCCATACGCTCAGCAGAAACTATGCTTTGACTACTGAAGTGTTCCTGAGCTATGGAGAGGATATGTAGTAAGTTATTTTCTACAGATGTTTCCAGTCAGTCACCACATTAGGAAGGCGACTGGAGAAGGAACACAGTATAACATCTTGGTAAGCTAATTTAGGTAAAAATAATTTAGGCATATATAAAAAGATAATTCAACTTACAATATTTTTAACTTGAAATCCACCATAACCCCAAAGAAATGCTTTCATAATTATATGTTTTATTAATTAATGTGTTTCTAAAAGATGTAAAATTCTGCATATGGTTTATATTATGTTGTGTTCAAACAATCCATAATTTCAGCTAAAGGTTCAGTGGTGTGACTGCTTTGGGGAACCAAGCTACAGGAGGGAAGTCTCATCTAGTGCTGTAAACACTGTCAAAAGGCCCCTGGGAGGGTAAATCATCAGTCCTAGTGGGAAATATATTATAGTTTTGCTAAATTGACATGCTATGCCTATCAAATTGTCTCCTAAATTTTTATATTTACATCCGTAGATTAATGTTTGGTAGTGGGTGTCTTTAAGTGGTCAAAGAAATTGGTGAGAAAGAAATGACTACTTGATATTCAATCCTAAATGGGATATTTACATCAACCCCTCCGAGGCTCAGGAAACATCAAGGAAGAGGGGGCATGGGAGGGTTGCTGTTTTTCAACCTAAGTAGCAGTAATGAACAGTACTAAGGTTACCAACACTCTGTAACAGAGGACAGG